ATTCGTTACGGTGTATTGGGAATCTAGAATTAATAGGTCAAGATGTAAGATTAATCAACGAGCAAGCATTATATGCGTTGGAAAAACGGAATGTATTCAGATTTGAGGTACCATGGATCATATCAAGACTTCAAAGAAGCTTTCTTTATGTGAGCTACAAGGAGTAATTCCCACTACCACCAAAACGGTGATCAGTTCCGGTCCCTGCGCAGCGTTTTGGGGAGGAATAGTAGAGGACTTGGCATTTGTTGCACCAAAGCCATCCTTCCTGTGCTGAATCTACCTTACCCACGGGCGCCGCATATTCACCGCTACCGGTATGATCGTGCTTTCCACCCGCCGAGCAATCTCCCATGTCTCCATCACTTGGCTGGGACCAGCACATGGCCTGACACTTGCGGCACCACTTCCATCCTTTCTGCCCCGCTGCTCCAGGTCCAAAGTACATCGAGTAGTTTCCGCTTCCGTCATGGTGATGGACTCCGGTCACGGGGCACCTGCCTTGATCAGAGTTCCCCGCGTAGCAGAGAGCCTCGCACTTGTTGCACCAGCGCCAATTATCTTGACCCCCCGCAGCATTATAATGCACGGAATAATTCCCACTACCGGTAGAATTGTGATTGTTGCCCGAGGCGCAGAACTGGGTCTTGGAATAGATGAGTCCTTGGCAGCGATTGCACCAGTGCCAGTCTGCTTGCTGTCCTGAGACGGGAATGGTAGAAAGCGTGTAATTACCGCTACCAGAGTGATCGTGTTTGTCTCCCGCAGGACAGGGGCCAGGTGAGCCAGAGCCGTTGTAAGCGAGTGACTGACATTTTTTGCACCAGCGCCAATTATTTTGCTCGTTTGAACCGGGGTTGACGTTATGCTTCAGCTTGTAGTTGCCGCTTCCCTCCATGTCGTGTTTCCCCCCAACCGGGCATACACTACCAGAATTACCAGAGTACCAAAGACCTTGGCACTTGTTACACCATCGCCACTGGTCTTGCGTAGACATTTTATCTGCTCTTTGTATAAGTTGGTGACGAAAATGGTCGAAAAACTACTTACAAGAAGTCTCGTTGCAGTTGAGCTGGTAGCGAAGAAGGAGAAAGATTTCTACCTGACCCCACTTCGTTCATAACGGCCCACTATTTATATCATAAGAGCGCTTAAAGAAGTATCATCCAAACAGCGAGTATGGAATTGAGCGACATCATGTGAACAGGTAGCGGCAATCTTATAAGGGAACCAACTGAAATATGCTGGCATTTTGAGCCCACGAACACTCGAACTTGAATACATATAACGAGATGAGCTCGAAA